GAGGATTTTAGTAGGAGATCTTTAGTAGCAGTAGAGCTCCTTGTGAAAGCTCTGAGTAACACTGCAACTGTTATGGACAGGCGTGTGGCTTATTACTACGTGCACGACCTGTTCGTCCTGTCACTTGGTGTTATAAAAAAAATATATGTATATAAAAACTTTGCTTGAAAGTTACCAGAATCAAAATAATTTTTGTAGTGACCAGAACCAAAAGATGTTTTATACAAAGCCGAGATTCGGAAGGGGTTCCATCCTTTGATGGTGGGATAACGCGGTGTGTTCTTCGGCAGCCGTTTTATATGTCGAATGAAATACACCATTTGTCACCGGGCCTTTGTTATGGAGAAGGGACTGATCCACTTAGTTCCGCAGACAAGCTCGTATATCCCCGTCCTTTTATAGATTTTCGAACGTACTTTTTCTTATTTCCTCTTGTTTTTGTAAACAAAAATATTGTTTATCGGTACATATTACACTATCAATTTTGACAGAAATATTAAGTACTAAGTACTAATATCTGTTATCAATCATGCCGTAATGTTTAATCTGTTATCGAATACTCTATAATATTAAATGTACCAAGAGTTTATTTTAGAAAACATTTAAATAAAAATCTTAGTTTGCACGGATACATGAAAACCTATAAAATTGAACATGACGTATAGTTTCAGGTAAAGTGCGTCCGCGCATAAGCATCTACAGCAAGTCGTATCATCAGTGTGGTGAAAATTTCTGAGGAATCTTTCAACTTTCACTACAGTAGTAACGTGAGCCCGTCACACCTAGTGGCCGGCGTCACCGTCATCCGAGGGTCACCAGTTTTCTATTCGCGTTGTGCAGTGACGCACGCGCCGGTGACGCTGCGGGCAAGTAGCCCGCGCACGCGCTTTAAATACACCGCATCACCCCCCTACTCCTATCCGCAGCGTAATTAAAGGCATCTGGAACGTCGTCACGGCGGAGTAACGGCCGTCTACCCACCATGTTTCAGCCGAAATCACCATACCCCCACCACTCCGCCACGGCGACAGACACCCTCCCTTCTCCTACATGCACCGTTGCATTGCCAAATGGCTAGCACGGAAATTGTTACAAAGAGTATTGAAACCAGTACGTCGCCTATGGTTTTACATTCCAAGTGGAACTTGCAATGAGGACATGGTACAACCGTCGTTACCATTCCAGCGCCGGTTTATGAATAAGATAGAAAAGATTTACGGCCATGAATGAATACTTAATTCCGACTGCAAATTCGGCTTCCATATTACACGTTGGCTGGTGGCCAAGTGAAATATCAATACAATTACATATAGGAATAAAGACATAGAGGCTAAATGCGAGTAATGTTTTATGGCTTGGCTTGATCATCTAAAAACACATATATTTTTTGTTTCATATGAGAGTATAGTTCGTTATGAAATCACGAGTATATTTATGATAGATTAAAGAACCGTTTTGTTTGCTACAAATACTCAATAGAGAAGAAAGTAAATTAATTGTTGCAAATGCATTTTCATAACAAATTGTTACATCTTTTCTATTATGTCTTGGCAACTTAACAGAGAGTATTATGACATTAATTACTCAAAGTCAAAATAAGCAAGATCACAATGTGTTGTTTATTGTAATTAGAATATAGATTATTACAGTAAATCAAATAGTCATTTGAAGAAAGATTACTTAGGTAGTTCTTAAGCTTTTTAAAAGCAAATGATGACAACAAGATTTGCAGAAAAACAACCACTAAAATATACTGATGAAGACACCATGTCCACTTTACAGGTTTTTGTAAGGTCTTCATCAGCCACTGTACGGACTTGAATAGCACTTTTTTAGCAACTTAGATCTCTGCAAGGAAAACAATTCACGGGTAAAACCCGTAAAGCAATCGAAAATACGTCATTTTAAGCTATTTTAGTTTGAATTATTCCACCACCATTATTACTATTGTTGTTGTTTTAAATACTACTATATTATTAAAAACTAATTACTTTGTCAATATAAAAGAAAATCTGTGCACCTGAGTTAAATAGTGATGAAAATTAGGAGCACACAAAGACTCTGCACTGTAATTCGTGGTGATCACAATAGATCAGTCAATAGTCGCAGTGATGAAGGCATGCATAGGCCCTGAATGAAGCCGCCCCAATATTAATAATAATAATAATGGTGTCTCATGAAATCAAAACCATAGTAATAAAAACTTTCCTTTTTACGTGAGAATAGTGCCCAGAAGACATATAACTTAATAATAAATGTTATAGACAAGAAAGAGGCTCAGAAATGAAAGTTTATTTGTTATAAATCACGGAATTGTCTTTTCAAACAAGTTAACATTTCGAGCGTTACAGGTACCATAGATGACTAGTCCGAAAAAAATAATTGACTTTCCAATATGTAGTAATCGTGAAAAGTTAATAACTCCACAAGTGAGAGGTGTCATAGAAGAAATGAATATAAAAAAGCACAGTTAGTACAATGCATTTGTTGCACATAAATTATGAAAAATGTTACTTCTGCCCAGTGAATTGCATGAAATTAACTATAACATATGTATGTAGTTCATTTACCTTGGGGTTTGTCAAAATATCATTAACCTACTAAGCCAATGTTTGCAGGAACTAATTTTACATATAAAAAGTTAATTAATTCATTTAGTAAAATAATTGCTAAATGTTGTGTATATAGGTTATATAAATTGAAATGCTTACATCATACTGAAAAGGATTTTGCATCCAGCTATAAATGTCAAATTCAAATATGCAAATAAATCTTATACATTTCATATTGCTGTACTCAAACACGAGTTACTATGTGAAATAAAGTTTATTTTGGCAAGGATATTCAATAAAATATTTGCACGAAATTTGTACACATAAAACAAATGTACTGTGATAAAATTTCAGAAATTGTGGCACAAGACACTAGCATGATATTCTGAAGATGTGCACAACTCATGCATAATTATAAACATATTGAAATAAATATATGATGTAGTAGATGGACAATTTAAACCGTTTGAACACTTTAATGTTTGACCTTCCATTCCAAGACAATTAATAACTTGTGAACTCTGAAAATTTATGGCAAAAGTTTTTATTTATTTATTTATTATTCAAAATTACAACATATTACTTATTACAAAAAGTCGCCAAACTGCTGTGCAGTTTGTTGGCAACATGTGCACTCTTACTTAATAATACCTACTTTACTATATTTAACATTATACAGTATTAATTGAACTACTAACTTATTTAATAAAAGATAAAGATTATTTTAACGTTTTAGTGCATATTTACTTAATTTTGTATCATTTCTAAGCCAATCAATTTCGTTATATATTTTTGGAACTAAATAGCGTGTACATCTTTTTCCATAATAATTATTTGCTTTAAACTGCACTAGTTTACCCTGCCTTACTCTTTTTGTCATGTACTTATTTTTAAGCCTAACTTTATAATTATAAAATATAACAAATCTAGGTGAGTGTATTTAAAATTTTGCAATTTCAGTCACAATACATTGGAAAGGCTGACTGACAGATTGAATTAAGAACTTTACAATGTGTAGGAATAAATTTCTACTAATGATTTTTTTAATTCAAAATATTATACCATTTGCAATAATAATAAATAGTAATAATAATTTCTTCAAATTTAAATGCGACCACTATTGAGGTACCCTCTTTCCAACAATAAAAGGATCATCAAAATCGGTTCACGAAGGTGATCACTTAACATACATACAAAAAAAATACGAATTGAGAACCTCCTTTTTTTTAAGTAGGTTAAAAAGCTACTCGCCATGGTAATTATCTGGACATGGTTACTCTTAATAAATTGAACACCATTGATAAATGAACACACCTCATGAATGGTGTTCAAGTTAAGGTTGTCATGGATTTGAGTTCGCCAGGCCTGAATTTGTCTTATACTGAACCATTCAAACTAACTTTGACAGGGTTATATTTAAAAATTTGATGAACCATATAAAGAAATCTTTTATTTTGGTGTGGGTAGTGTACCAAGTGTACTTACTTTACATGCATGTATTATCTAATCATAATAGTGGTTGTGGGACTGTCAGAGACATTACCACAATTTGAATTTTTACTATGTTTAGAAATGACAAGTACATACTTGCAAATATATTCAGTTGTAATAAATTTACAGATGGTAAGTTAATTGTAGTTAATATTTTTAAAATATTAAAATTGAACATTGGGTTTTATTTTTAACTTTGTATTACATTGTAGACGTGCTATTAGTTACTTTGTTTAATTTCCACAACATGTGGTATAATGTTATTAAAGTTGAAATTGCATTGGCGGGTGCCTTAAAAAGGTTTTCATTTAGAATGGCCAAAATTATATGTGATGTGCACAGTCCGATGAATATAAAGATTTTGAACATTGAGTTAAAGAGAGAAACTATGTATCATGTATTAGTTTTGTATCCTTCACTTATTAATAAAATAAACAACATTGCACTGTGTTAACATTTAAAAGTAAACAGTATGGACCGGTTTTATTGTGTCATGGAGTTGAAGATGCTACGTACGCTGTGTCTATATAATATTAAAGTATTATTAAAAGATGAAGTGGGCACTTGAATTTCAATGCTAGGCAACCACAATGAAGTAATATTTTTACAAAACATTAGTAAACAACCTAATAAGTTTCTAATATTTAAATGCTGAACAAAGTTAGAACTTGTGTTCAATTTTATAATTAAATGTCCTATATTTAGTGTTCAAATTTATATGAGAAAATAGTCAGACTAAAAACTTAAGTAGACTTTTAAGTGGGTCGGCCACAACCACATAATCATTACAAATTCTACGTAGTAATAAGCTGTAATAGGTATTTCAATGTCAGTGATCATATTACAAGCACAATTTAGCTCCACGCCTCTTCAGAAAACCAGTTTTGTTGCGCCTAACCAAACATAACCTAGCATTCTGTTGTATAATGTGCACTAATAATATCGCCTTGTCCTCAGCAAAGCCGGTTTGTCTACCAGCCGATAATGCCCGAGTATTTATTTTTACCCGTTACGTATGCACAGCTGTCTGGGCGTCTCACTGCCCGGCCACCAAGGGAAATCACGATGAAACTTGCTAGAAAATCTCCTCTAAACATGCATCACGGCGCCCAGCAAGCCCGTATCGGTAGCCACAAGAACCCGATTCGCTATATTTGGAATTCAGTCGGTGGAATCTAGAGAAATTGCTCGCCCCAAATAAACTTTTCAAGTATCAATACAAAGTACACGATAAAAGGTAAATTACATAGACTATTGCAAGCAGTAGTGCAGAAAAATATAGGTCAGGTACCTTTCTCGTCCCCAGCAGCGAATGAGGCAGGTTCACAAAACAATTCCTCAAAGAGAAATCACAAAATTCTCCACAAACACGGCGAGTGTTCACTGCGCGTGCAATCACTCAATTCACAGCCGGTGTATAAAATTCACAAATGACTAGCTGTACACACGAATATAAGAAAAAACACAGATTACACTAGCTTAAAATCTATGATTTCCACAAAAATTTCTTGAACAGAAACGAAAAACGCGCCAACTGTCAAACTAAAAAAACTACAAGCACCAACGCACCGCGCATCCGCGCGGTCCGAGTCCGCTTTTCTGACTGATGAAGGCGCTACACACGTACGGACCGTTGGCCGATTTCCGCGCACCACACACCGTCGACGACGACGACGCGACACGAAATGACAGCGGCATGCTCTGACACAATTTAATTTTCATTTATGCACTAAATACATATGCTGTAATTATCTCTGACATAAACACCAATGTCGCAGTCATCTTTATCGCGATGCGGCAAGAGATAACTGTTTTAAATTTGTGTAAAGATAAAGTAAAGCGGCCAAGTTAAAAAGATCTCAGTGAGTAATGATAATACGTATAAGCCAATATTCATCTATATTTGTTCGGTTAGACTTTAGCCAGACGCGCATGCGTCAGTCGGGCATTGGGCACGACGACGTCGTGAATGACAAGCCCTGCGCTTATTATTACTCGATCGATTTTTAAAGAATGTGGTATTTTATGCGCTCAATTATAAAATTAAATAAATTGAACATCATCTGCGAATATATTTATGCATTGTAAAAGATAGCTCAGAGATTTTAGCAATTTTTACTGTTGAGTACTAATTATATAACACTAGTTTTAAACTTTTCCGTAGGGGAAGTTGTGATATTAAAATGTGAGAAATACCAATTTAATAATGGTATATGAATGGTATATTATATATATTCAAATCTTAAATAATAGTTAAACGTCTTAATTCTTATTTGCCAGGGTATTATTGTTTGTTATGTCTCATTGCCTGTAAAAATACTTTTGATTTTAAATTTTCTAAAGTTCTATTGTGGTTTTACTTCTTCTTTTCGTTTCATGCATAATATATAATATCTTGTCGTGTTGAGACGCATTCCACGCGAACGTAATAACTGCATTCATTTTTAATGAAATTCTCTGAAGCAACCAGTTAATAAACACCATTAATATTATGAAGTTATGGGATGAAAAATATAAAAGCATTATTGACTTTGTTGAAGTAAGAATACAAGCTTTTTTAGCCATTTGTGGGTCAAAGGAATCGCAGTTTATGTTCTTAATAAATGATGACGAAAATTATGTAAACAGATAAGGTCAGTAATTTAGTGCTCGTAAAAAGTTGTTTATTGTTCAAAATTAAACAAAAAGTGAGTATTTAAGACAGAATCATAATAACACTTAATTGCTTTAAACAAATCTAGGCATTCTTATCTGCCAATGAAGACCATTTACAAATACAAGTAGAACTCGGAATAAGATGTTGACAATGAGATAATTAAGATAAAAATGAACATGCAGATACCGCATAATCTATTAATGACACTTACCTTGAAGTGATTAGCGATCAAACAACTTTATCTCTTGTTGTTACAGTGCTGTCGCCTTGCGGCGGCGGCGGCAGGAGGAAGGTTTCGTGTGCGTCAATCCTTATCTAAATGAAATTGTAATTTACAGTCCTACAAAGTTACATTTGCGCTTGAGCGTTAGTAACCAACGATAAGAAGCATCTATGGGCCCGGAAATGGTGCTATGAAATATTAAAGTACATTCTGTTAGATTACAAGCGTTGTTATATTAAAACGTTTATCACTTGTTATGGAAGTCCTATGTTGGCGAATTTATTTAAATCGCATTTCAAACCACATTATATTCAGTAGTTTTCAAACTTTAAAGCTCCTCATGTCATGTAATTTTACTACTCTCTACTTACGTACTTGCATCGAATTCATAGTAAGACTTTGCAACAGATTTGTTAGTAGGTACTACATTTTCATAGAAACCTTTTTTCTAATAGGTTTGAGTTTAGTAACTTTGATTCGCAATAGGTACAGACAGTTTGAGTAAAATAAACAAATACACTTTAAACTATAGAAACTTTATCTATGATTTTAATGACAGTATTAAGTAAATATAAAGGCTTGGTTCCACTCAGTGTTATGTGTATCAATGATCTTATTTATTTAAGATAAGCTCCAAAGCTAGGGTTAGTTTTTTTGCCAAATGTTCGTGTGTGTACGGGACCAAGTACAATTAAAAAGTAAAAACATCAATGTTGTAGCGCGAAATTTAAACTATTTTGTTCGAATTAATGAATTAATCATTTACCTACGAGGTTTTTGCTCGGTATATTTAGAATTATATAATTTATGTGGTATATAATCTCAGTACAGAGTACTAAAAAAACGACCTCAAAAGTACATGGAATTACGTCTATTTGCCAAGTTTTATTGAAAAATCCCTAGTTCGCCACTATACGGGACTTGACACAGGAGATAATAAAAATCGGTTCTCACTAGTCAAAGTATATTGAGAGAGCCTTGAATTGGAGAATAGCAAAATCAACCATTAAAATAATTGCTCCGTTATAATAACATTTAGGCGCTATTTACAAAAATGAATCTTCGTGCGTGAACAGTCACTCTTAGAGGTGGATGATTTTCTTCAAAATTAAATGGGACCACTATGGACGTATCTTTCTATCTTCTCTTTCCAACAAAAAAAAAGAATCATGAAAATCGGTGCACAAATACCGGAGTTATCGCGTAACATACATACAAAAAAACATACAGTCGAATTGAGAACCTCCTCCTTTTTTGAGGTCGGTTAAAAATAAGATTAAACCTTTTGTTATGTTACTTATCATCAGATCTATCAAGATTAGAATTGCGAACAATCGAAATAGCAAGATCTAACAATAACACCACTAACAGAATGCGATTCAGAGAAGACTATTTCCGTAGACAGAGTTCCATTGACTTATTTAATAAAAATGTTTTGGATTAATATGGGCCACGTTCTAAGGCGCGTCGACCATATTCTTAATCGTGCTACTTGCAGATTTGACAGTGCTGTATACCATTCGCAGCGGCCATAAGAAGAACTGAAATAATCCATACGAACATTTTACTCGGTTTGTAGGTTTGTAGTGACTATGGACATTGAAAATTCAATACTTAACCTCTTGTGGGCAGCGACCGCGTAAAATACATGTCAATTTTGTACGGCTAATTGTACAGTGCCCCTGGCGTTCACAAGAAGAAATAACATTTCGTATTAATTTTATTAATTAATTTTATCTTATAGAGTCAATCGTGTGGGCTTCTACTTCGAGCCAGTTAGAAATCGAGGAATACTAAAGTAGGGGACATAATTGGGTTGATAAAGTATGTGTAAACATCTGCACACAGGAATTTACACTTTGAATTTTAATCCGATTTTTCGTCGTAGTAAAATTGTCGTCCTTCGAGACAGTCTAAGGCGCCTAAGCCATACTGCCAGTTAAATTTTTTCTCATTTTTCGTCTATTCAGTGACAAGAGTAGCGTTTTAAATCTTAAATGTAAATCTCAGCGTGCTGTAAATTGTACTTAACGCAGAGATCCATAATTGATCGTAAAATAATTCCTATGACACTAATCCAAATTCATCAATCATTATTACTTACAGGAACACTAATAACATTAAAGAAAAAAATTTATTGACGCACTTTTTTTTGTAATCATTTCGATAACGATAAGTCCAAAGGTGATTATTTGTTGCATTGAATTGACGTAAGAGATAAACTAAAATATTTGAAGGCCGCGAATTGATTTAATTCTTATATCTGATTAATTAAAAATAAAATTATTCATTACGTATATAATAGAGTAACACATACTACTGATCATTTTGAATAGTAAATGTAATTATTGTGATTTTTAAAAGTAGGAACATTTTGTGTTCTACTTGACTTTGCAGTATAAAAATGAAGTTGCAAAAGTTTGAAACATTGAAACTAATTTGTATATGGAACTGTTACCTTGTAGATCCATATTTTATAATCTATGTACTATTGTATCGAAATAGGATTAGGCTTACTTTCAAAAGCATTTTGCTGGCCCGCCCGGCGACGATGACGTCACCAGCGGCGCGCGCACTACTCGCATCGATCGCCCTGCCATTTTGCAGCGCTAAACAGCGCTAGACGAGCCACTTTCCTAGGATCTTGTTACAGCCGCTTCAAGCGCTGAATCGAAACTTTTTAAAATGTAACTAGACCACGGCAAAAGGTCACATGCGCCAGCATTTAACAATGAAATATCAGCGCTACTTTTCAATCGAAAGGGTGTACCTTGCTAATGAGAGTGGAAATTTAATATGGCGGGTGATTCAAAGATTTCTTTCGTAATGGTATTGCAAGCGATTTTGTCGTAAAAATACGATTTTACTGTATTATGGCGAAGAGTGGACGCTAATTAATGAAATTCGAGACTGAATTTCTGCGATCATGTTTTTTGAGAATTACCAGTGTAGTAACGTAAAATGGAATAGAATAGCATATAAATTTACAAAAACGTTAACTGTAAATTGATTGAACTAGAGTCGCGATTTTCAAATATGTTGTGTTTTAAATTTCGATACTCTTGTGTAATGGCAACAATGCACGAAAAGGTACGGAATGTTAAATGTAATCCCATATCTTAAATTAGTAAATTCGAAATTGAAACTTTTGCTGAAGTAGCCACATGCTTGCAGGACGCACAGTTCGTCATTTTTAATTCAGTTTAAATCAGAGATAGTTATATTTAAGTTCTAAACATGATTTGTTTCTATACAGTCAAAAGTACATCAAGCTTGACACTTTGAATCGTTCTTAAAGAAAGCGACTAGTGTTGAATTTTTAAGTCAAGTTTGATGTACTCTGTACAATAATTATTTCGGTACTGTATACTTTATATACTGTTATTTCACTCAAGAAAGTCCAAGTTAAACCTTTTCTTATTACAAATAACTTGAAATAACCTTAAATAGATTTAATTTTCAAACATAATCCCGCTTGAAAATAAACTGGCGCGCTTCGTAAATTAAATATGACTTCCCGAGCGTTCGAATTTGTTAAGACTGCGAGCGACACCTAGCGGCGCACAGGGTAACTTTGCTACGATTTTTTACTATTTCTCATTTCTCGAAAATATATTTATTTTATATAAGTTAATTCCTCACTAATTTTCGCACTTTCACATACGTAACTTGTACATTGTTTCGTTAATTATTGTAACTTGTTTGTCCGTAATAATTAAATTAAAAAATAACTATTTTATGCGACATTGGTAAATTGGTAAAAATATGCAAGTAAAAGCTGTAAGTCACGGTACACAGCCTGATTACAACCTGATTGCTCCGGTATGATCTGAATATGATCAAGGTCAGAGGAGTAGGGATCTTCTAGGCGAGCGTATGACTCTCAGAAATAAAGTAGTATCCTTATCCACATCCTCACTTTCCATCAGATATTGTGGTCGAGCATCAGCATAATAATAAATTGCAATAAAAAACATATCACAAGGAGGATACTCTTTTCTCTGTGTACCTTATAATACAGTACGTCAACATTTAAGGTTATTTGCCATTGAACCATGCCCAAGCTTTAGACAAAAAGCTCAACAGAGGAAGGCGGAGGAAAAGGTGGAGCTACCCCCATAAAAAGGGGGTACGGGGTCCATACCCCCTGAACGGAGTATAGGTGTATTTGAAACTGAAATTAACTGCGTGACTTTCATAAAAGTTTCCCACTAAAGGATCAGCCACGATGTTGTGTCATGTTTTTATTTGTTATCACGTAACATTGTTAAAATGGAACACCTAATGGAAGAAAAAAATATATACATATTTAGTGTTTTCTTACGGTTCCCTATTAGTATTTGACTAATGTGACCATTATTTTTTTCTCTCTGAGCGGGATGCCTGTAAATAATAATAATACCGCACACACTCAACACAGCCCCGCACTAGGGAAACCCTGTGTCGCGGGTGTTATGGACACACACATAGACAACCATAAATTACACCCAAACTCACGAGAGAAATAAATGTTAAAAGTGAAAAAGATCCTACAAATATTTTTCCCGGCCCGGGAATTGAACCTGGAACCTCTGCGTGGCAGTAAACTAATAACTCCAATTTGTCGTCGTTCAGAAATAAACCGCTAGACGGCAGCACGTTGACTGAAATTTCAATATGATATCGAAACGTCGTAACTTGTAATAACAGTATTGATGGTAATGAACTTTAACGACATACCGACAGGGTACAGTTTAAATTATATTAACAATCCAGAATTTGTTATTTCTTTTTAAATTTTAAACTACGACCAATTATTATCAAGATTTTGTAGTGTTTCAAATTGAGAATGTGTGAGTTTTGGCGACATCGGTTCTGACAGTAATCGAGGCTTATGGCATTTCCATTGTTTTGTTTGTTCCATGGAGAAGCTTAAAAGTCCCGCTCAAAGTGAGACGTATGGTCACGTTATATGTCGATGTGATTCCTTGTTTTTGTATGACAAATTGTCCTTAGAAGCGAATAACTAGTTTACTATTTTGATGAAAAACTTTACCTTATGACTTTACAGCACGGAAGCAAGTACTATTAAGTACTTATTATCATATCATGACCACTATTTACTACTAGCTGTAATTATATTCACACTCGGTCATGCACTTACATATCTAATAGGCTATTTTAGATGCACTATTTACACTTCACTATGTATATTATTATCTGTTGTGCGGTTGTTGTTTGTGTTTGGTTTAGAACTAGAACGAATCAAAGGAGAAAAGGCGGTGCAATTTGCTGCTAATTACTTTGAAATGTCAATGATAAAAGGCATTTATGTCAATGACAATTAGAAACCACTTCAAAGTATTTATATATCGCACAAGAAATTAAATTTT